TTATATGCACTATATATATATATATATATATATATATATATATGTGTGTGTGTGCGTCTGCCAGGTTTCTGTGATGTAAAAAAAATGAGACCAAGATAAATAATTTCTGAACTTTTTCCACCGTTAACGTAAACTATAACCTGTACAACTCAATTAAAAAACAAACTGAAATCTTTTAGGAAAGGAGGAGTAAAAATAAAAAACTAAAGTAACGTGCTTGCATCACCACTGTGTTCCTAACTGTGTTCCATGCTATATCCAACGCCTTGGAAATTATTTTGCACCCTTCTCTTGACTGATACCTTTTAACAATGAGATCCCTCTGATGCTTTGGAAGCTCTCTGCGGACCATGGCTTTTGCTGTAAGATGCGATTAAGAAAATGTCAGGAAAAGCTTACTAGAACAGCTCAACTTTATTTGGGTTTAATCAGAGGCTCTTTAAATGATGGCAGGTGTGTACTGACTCCTATTTAACATGAGTTTGAATGTGATTTCTTAATTAAATCCTTAGATCTGAGAGGGTGTGCATACTTCTGCAACCACATTATTTTTTTATTTTTACTCCTCCTTTCCTAAAAGATTTCAGTTTGTTTTTTAATTAGTAAAATAACTATAAATATTGTTTATTTTAGTTCTATAAATCTCAGCCCTTTTTCTTTTCTACTCGTGTGTGACGTGTCTCTCAGTGATGAGTGAAAGATACTCGTCCATCTTCTGCAGCCGTTTCTGACACTCTGCGATCTGTTTGCGTGTGTGTGTGAGCGGCAGACCCCAGCTCTCCGACACGTATGACTTCAGAGAATCCAGCAGGAAGTTCTCAGCGCTCTGGGGGTCACCCTTCCTCCTGCACACACACACACACGCACGCACGCACGCACACACGCACAGACACAGGCACAGGCACAGACACAGGCACAGGCACAGGCACACGCACACGCACAGACGCACGCGCACACACACAGACACAGACACGCAAGCACACACAAGACACACACAAGACACACAGACACAGACACGCAAGCACATACAGACACACACACACACACACAAGCACACACACAGACACGCAAGCACACACACAGACACGCAAGCACACACGCACGCACACACAGACACACATGATTAATCGACACGGATACACTCTGTCTCCCTCTGGAGGACGTGTTACAGGTGTTTCTGCTCACATGTAGAACTCAGCCAGACTCTTCCCCACCAGCCGGGCCGAGCGCAGCCGCCCGATCGCTCTGTACATCTCCATAGCGGCGTGAGACAGCTCCTGAGCAGAGACACACAAACCATGAGCAGAAATAAACCCCGTAATCACAGCACTAAAACAAACACTCCCAGATTACAGAGACCGAACGCTCACCAAATAGTGTTTCTCAAAGGCCTCCACGGACGATAGCGCCTCCTTCAGCTTCTTATTCACACACGCCTCACACACGTGCCTCAGACGCGCATCAGACGCGCATCAGATGTGCTTCAGAAACACATCACACACGCATCACACACATGCTTCACACACGTGCCTCAGACGCGCCTCAGACACGCTTCAGAAACACATCACACACGCCTCACACACGTGCCTCAGACGCGCATCAGACGCGCCTCAGAAACACATCACACACGCCTCACACACGTGCCTCAGACGCGCATCAGACGCGCCTCAGAAACACATCACACACGCCTCACACACGTGCCTCAGACGCGCATCAGACGCGCCTCAGAAACACATCACACACGCCTCACACACGTGCCTCAGACGCGCATCAGACGCGCCTCAGAAACACATCACACACGCCTCACACACGTGCCTCAGACGCGCATCAGACGCGCCTCAGAAACACATCACACACGCCTCACACACGTGCCTCAGACGCGCATCAGACGCGCCTCAGAAACACATCACACACGCCTCACACACGTGCCTCAGACGCGCATCAGACGCGCCTCAGAAACACATCACACACGCCTCACACACGTGCCTCAGACGCGCATCAGACGCGCCTCAGAAACACATCACACACGCCTCACACACGTGCCTCAGACGCGCATCAGACGCGCCTCAGAAACACATCACACACGCCTCACACACGTGCCTCAGACGCGCATCAGACGCGCCTCAGAAACACATCACACACGCCTCACACACGTGCCTCAGACGCGCATCAGACGCGCCTCAGAAACACATCACACACGCCTCACACACGTGCCTCAGACGCGCATCAGACGCGCCTCAGAAACACATCACACACGCCTCACACACGTGCCTCAGACGCGCATCAGACGCGCCTCAGAAACACATCACACACGCCTCACACACGTGCCTCAGACGCGCATCAGACGCGCCTCAGAAACACATCACACACGCCTCACACACGTGCCTCAGACGCGCATCAGACGCGCCTCAGAAACACATCACACACGCCTCACACACGTGCCTCAGACGCGCATCAGACACACCTCAGAAACACATCACACACGCCTCACACACGCATCACACACGCATCACACACGTGCCTCAGACGTGCCTCAGACACGCTTCAGAAACACATCACACACGCCTCACACACGCGCCTCAGACACGCCTCAGACACGCCTCAGAAACACATCACACACGCATCACACACATGCCTCACACACGTGCCTCAGACGCGCCTCAGACACGCCTCAGACACGCCTCAGACACGCCTCAGAAACACATCACACACGCATCACACACACGCTTCACACACACGCTTCACACACGTGCCTCAGACGCGCATCAGACGCGCATCAGATGTGCTTCAGAAACACATCACACACGCATCACACACACGCTTCACACACGTGCCTCAGACGTGCAGACACGCTTCAGACACGCCTCAGAAACACATCACACACGCATCACACACATGCTTCACACACGTGCCTCAGACGCGCATCAGATATGCCTCAGACGTGCCTCAAACACGCATCACACACGTGCCTCAGAAGCGCCTCAGACGTGCCTCAGAAACGCCTCAGACGCACATCAGATACACCTCAGACGTGCCTCACACACGCATCACACACGTGCCTCAGACGCGCATCAGTCACGCCTCAGATGTGCCTCACACACGCATCACACGTGCCTCAGACGCGCATCAGTCACGCCTCAGATGTGCCTCACACACGCATCACACGTGCCTCAGACGCGCATCAGTCACGCCTCAGATGTGCCTCAAACACGCATCACACACATGCCTCAGAAGTGCCTCAGACGCACATCAGATACGCCTCAGTCATGCCTCACCAAAATTACTAAACCTAACTAAACGCCTCACACGCACATCAGACACGCCTCAGACGTGCCTCACACACGTGCCTCAGACGCGCATCAGACACGCCTCAGACGTGCCTCAGAAACGCCTCAGACGCGCATCACACACATGCCTCAGAAGCGCCTCAGACGTGCCTCAAACACGCATCACACACATGCCTCAGAAGCGCCTCAGACGTGCCTCACACACGCATCACACACGTGCCTCAGGACCAGATCAGTCACGCCTCAGATGTGCCTCACACACGCATCACACGTGCCTCAGACGCGCATCAGTCACGCCTCAGATGTGCCTCAGAAACACCTCAGATACGCCTCAGACGTGCCTCAAACACGCATCACACACATGCCTCAGAAGTGCCTCAGACGCACATCAGATACGCCTCAGTCATGCCTCACCAAAATTACTAAACCTAACTAAATTAACATGAAAGCAGAAAATATAAAAACTAAACTGTAATATCACAATGCTTCTAAATAACACTGGTCATGGAAATATTCTCATATTTCAAACATAACATCAATTTAAATAAATAAATATAATTCTGTTTTTTTTAATAATATTTCCTATTTCATTTTTATATTTTCTTTGCATTATAGTAGCAAAAATTAAATTCTCTTGCACTACAATAATGAGAATTTGGAGCGAAATGTGCTTAATTGCCTTGAAAATCTTGTCAAATGCAATTCGATTGATTGGCAAAATAGCTTCTTGAGCTGTAGTGCGCATCGTCCAGGGGTGCATTGATTTCAATGGAACTAACTACCATGCTTTTGGGAAACGCACCCCAGCTCGACTAAACAGTTTGGGCGAGTGGTGTAATAACTGAGCACTGCACACACTCACACACACACACACACACATACACATACACACACACTCTCTTTCTCACACACTCTGTCTCTCTCTCACACACACACACACACACACACACTCTCTCACACGCTCTCACTCTCACACTCTCTCTCACACACACTCTCTCTCACACACACACACACTCTCTCTCACGCACACACACCTCCAGCAGCCGCAGCTCTTGCACGCAGTTGTGCAGCAGCTCGAGCGCGCGGGCCGTCACCTCCCAGGGTCTCTGCAGGAAGATGAGCAGCGTACACTGGCGGGAGAACAGGTAGCTGCGCAGGTCCAGCAGACTGGCCTCTCCTCTCTGGATCAGGTCACGCTTCTCCATGTCGATGGGCCGCCGCAGCAGCAGCCCGTTCCAGCTGCGCACCGGCTGACAGAACGAGCCCAGCCAGTTAGCGCCGTCTGAACACCAGCAAAGCACAGAGTCAGACGCCACACCAACAGAACCCCACGCACTGTCTGAAGCTGCGGTGTGATCACGATTCATGTCAAATCTGTATTTCTATAAGTGAAAGCAGACGATTAATTGTGGTTTTAAACTGCTCTTGACATGACAAACATGTCACGCTTTTGAATTCTTTACACTTTTCTAGTCATTTCTCCTTAACTAAATAAATGTCTTAGAAGAATGTGAGTGATATTGTTTCAGGTTATGACGCAGGTTTGTGTTGCTGACTTTGCTGACGTGTATCTTCAGCACAGTTTGCAGTGCAGGCTGTAATATTAATAATAGCACATTTTTTGTCTCTTAGAAATGCACATTTGACAGCAGCTCGAGTTTGGATGCAGATTTAAATTCATGTTCATTATCATAAACAGCAACATCTGTAAAAAATATGTCAATCTTATTTTAATGTGGTGAAATGTAATTATTCTGACTGTTGAGTTTTATTAAAATTTAACCCTTGCTCTTCCACAGTAGCCTACATTTAGATCATGATATGCATTTATTATATTTTTATTTTTAGTATTTTATTATATGAATATAATTTTACTTAGTTATATGGCAAAAAAACATTTGTAATTATATTTTAAAAAATATTTTATTTTAATATTTTTTTTTAAAGTACTTGTACTTTTGAAACTGTACTTATATTTAAAAATGTTTTAAATAAATATATTTTAGAAAATATTACAAAGAATAAGAACTGTATTTACATACAATATATGTTCAAATATATGATATATTTATTTTATTTTAAGAATCTTTCTGCTGATGTAATACTGTGCAACAGCATCATAGCTTAACATATTCCAAATAATCCTGAAGCACAGCAATCATAACATCCGCTCTGAATGTTCTCAGATCACAGCGGGCTTCTCATCACAAACCTAGAGTGTGTCTGTTTTAAATCTTAACTGAAGACGGTTTACCTCCAGCGCCGAAGTTGAGCACATACTGCGTGAAAAGAGCGTCGAGTTCATCATACTGGACCAGAGCGTCTTCAAACTGCTGCAGCATCTCGAACACAAACGCCAGCTCCTCCTGATCAACACACAGATGCACAGCTGAAGAACAACCCACCGCTGTGACTGACAGCTCCCTCAGCCAATCACACACCTGCACCATGAAGTAGTCGCAGAAGCTCCAGCCGGGCTCGGTGCGCTTCTCTCGCAGCGTCCTCATGTCGTCCTCGAAGCGGCCCAGATTCCTGGTGAAGGACATGAGCAGCAGCGTGCGCAGCTTAGTGAGGAACGAGCTCCAGGACTCCTGTGAGCGTGACGACTCCTTCAGCGGCTCGCACAGAGACACACACCTGCAGACAATCACATCACATGCATGCACATACTTCATTACGACTGCACGCTTTCTTTGACTTCATCCTGAATAAACAAGATAAAATCTCAAAGATCTGAACTGTTGAGTTTGTTCATTCAGCTCAGCGTCTCTATGTCATTTTTTTACCGTTTTTAAAAATTTCAGATGCATTTATTACAAATATTTTATTATCTAATGATATTTTAAATATTTGTGTATTTCATTTTTTCATATTTATTTTAAAAAGTATTTGTTTCAATATTTTTTTTTAAAACACAAAAAATAAAGCATAAAAAATTTAATTCAACAATCTTTCACGAAACTTTCTCGGCCCTTTTTCTTTCCTGGTGACGCAATCAAAGCTTTGTGGGAAAATAAGATAAATATTTATATTATATGACATAATATTTATGACATCACTGAATGTGATTTTTTTATTAGATTTGTAAGATTTTAGTTATTTTTATTAATATTTTTTATTTATTAAATTATATATTTTTAAATATTTATTTTATTATTATTTTTAAGTATTTATTATACTTTTAATGTTTTCATATTTTTATAACTTTATATTTACTTAAATTAGTATAAAAAAATTAATAAAATGACATTTAAAAATTATATTTATTTTATTTCAATAACATTTCATGAAACTTTGTTATTTTTCTTTTCTGCTGAAGTGATAAAGGCTGTTATATTTATTACAAATATTTTTATTTATTTAATTATCATTTCAAAATTGCTTGATTTATTTTTTTATAATTTTATTTATATTTATTTAAAAGTATTTGTTTTATTATACTTTTATTTTTATGTTTTTAATATATAAAAATACAAATATAACTAGATAAAAAAAGTTCGTCAAGACAAACTTTAAGTTGGCTTGAGAAAGCCGGACCAGAAAGTTTGAAAAAGTTTGAAAAGATTAAAAAGTTTAAGAAGTTTAAAAAGTTTTAGACAGATAGATAGACAGACAGATATGCAGCTGCTAGAATACCTGTGTGGTTGCTAAGGTGTTGCTTTTTGGTTGCTAGGGTACTTAGGGTGGTTACTAGAGCGGTTGCTAGGGTACCCGGGATGGGTGCTAGGGTGTTGCTATGCGGTTGCTAGGGTACCCAGGGTGGTTTCTAAGATGTTGCCATGCGGTTGCTAGGGTACCCAAGGCAGTTGCTAGGGTGTTGCTATGCGGTTGCTAGGGTACCCAGGGTGGTTGCTAAGGTGTTGCTATGCTGCGGTTGCTAGGGTACCCGGGGTAGTTGATAGGTTTGTTTGGATAGTTGCTAGAGTGTTGCTATGAAGATAAATAGACAGACAAATGCTGATTCTGTGCGGTTCATGACATCTGTCCTGTGTCCATGTTTGTTTATTCAGCGTTCGGCTCTCACACTCGTCAGACGCTCAGCACAGCCGCAGAAGAAGAGCATGCTGGGATCAGGAGCTCACCTGTCGCTCTGCTTGTTGCAGAAGTCGCTGCGGATCTTGTCGACGATGGAGGTGCGCGGCAGGAGGTTGGTCTTGTTCTTCTTCTTGTTGTCGCTCTCCACCACCGCGATGATCCAATCCACCGAACCGTG